AATTTTCATTTTATTACAGGGGTCGAGAGCAGTTTCTAGAAAAAATGATATGCAAAAATCCAAGTATGTTCATAAACAAATAATGTATATTTTGACAGATGAAATTACTTCCCAGGATGCCTTTCCCAATTGTAGTATTTTAATACAAAGTGTGAACATCAAAGGACTTTTATTCTCATTTAGAACATCTGCCGGGCACTATATTGTAGGCTGATAAAACAAACAAAACAGCTTTGTGCAATGTGTTACACCTATTTTTGATTTGGTATAATTATCCAGAGCTACAATGCTGCATTCTTGATCATGAAGACATGAAGCTGATGTTAATGGTGGTGTTAATATTTACTTTTATTGGCTTGACAAAATCCATGCGTACCACAAAATTGCAAGTCCAAAAATGTGTCCTGAATGTTCTTTATCCCAGACTACTCATGTTGTCACTCAATCGTCCAGTCCTCACAGTTTGGGTTGCTTTTTTTAATTTATTTATTTTTTCATCTGTCAGGTACCATAAGGAGCATAAGTTGGACATTATTGGATGAAGATGGAGAAGAAGTATGAAGAATTTCTGCCATTTGTGGATATTTTAGTCTCCTTTCAGCTGTTCTAAGTGGCGGGCTACCTGTGGGGCGAGGGGCAGGGAGCCTGCCACTAAGAATGGCTGCCAGGTGACTATGGATATTTTTGTTATTCTTATTATTTCTTGTCTCTTTTCAGGATGAAGAACCTGAAAACAGCTGGATGTTGTTTCAAGAAAAGGACCTGATTGATGTCTTTGGGCAATTCCCATTTGATGCCTTCTTTAAGCATCTCTTCAGAATGGATCCTTACCTAATAGGTAACGAGTCCCTCTGGAAACCAAATCAATATGCAAATCCATTATTAGCTGTGTAAAACAATGACAAATAAAGAAAAGACATGGTTGAGTCTATACAATACACAGATCCATCTATCAAATCCACGGATCTGCCAAGAAAACAGCCAAAACCTACCAGTTCATCAAATTTGCATTTTTTTCTTTTAAATTGTACATTCCACAAATCTGCAATTATAGTTGAGTTTCACCATCTCTTTTATGCTGTGTTAGTACTGCCTCAATTGTGTGCAAAAATATATTCAGAAATTTTGATAAAACTCGTGAAACTTCAAACTATTTCCATTCTTTTAAACTCAGCAATCTCTTGCATTTGCACGAACTGTTAGTGAATAAAAGAATTTATTACGTGGTTTTGAAGCTAACACAGCATAGATTGCTTTAAAGGGTTTATTAAAAATATCCCAAACCAAAAAATGCCATATCCCTCTCTTGAAAACTAATATTATTATGCATTATTTATGTCAACAAAGCTCTTTGGATTTCCCATTSTAGGTGATGATCTCTCTGAAGGTCTTTACAGTGTTGACAAGACGACAAGTAAAGATATCATGAAGATGTTGGCCTTTGCYTCGTGTATAGTGAAAATTATGGGCGCAGCATTTCAATCCTATCAAAATATACGCTACAGAGGATTTGTAAAGAGAATAGGCAGAACTATCAGGTATTACACATCTAATATATTAATATGTAATTATTGGTTATGAATTGCTYGTTTTCAAATCATTCCCATGAGATTCAAAGATCGATAAAATACCAGTGGCCATTGTAATTAACATGAACAATAGACGCTAATGAGAAATCCTTTGTTGATGTTCAACCAAGATGGCYGCTGTCACATATGTATTGTAAATGAAGTATATCAGCAGTTATGTTGATGATTGTGCTAATTCAAATTTTTTAAATCGTTATCTATAACTGCAGTCAAAATGAGTTATGATATGTTTGATAATGAAGATGATGGTAATGATGATACTATATAATATTGATGAAAGGAATTTGATTTTGACATATCATGATTAGTGTAAAAAAAAGCTGTAATTATAATAATTTTTTTTCATTTTGTGACAATAGCAAAGTTACTGAAGTTTCATATTTTTATGTTCTTTAGACAAGTTGTTCAATACGTGCTGGATCATTGGTCAAACTATTGTAGCTGGCGAGTGAATATGTGTGGTGATTCCTATACCACAATACCAGACATCTACTCCATTGAAAAACAGTTTTCTTTACAGCAATTACAAACAGAGGTTGATCAGTTCTTTATGAAAGCAACGCAGCAAATTATATGTGCACACAAGTAAGTAGTGATGTACAATTCTCGGAAAACATTTTAAAATTTTATTTATATTGTGGAGGACCTATTGACCATCTGTTCCTAAGCTCTGAAAAGGTCTTAGCTACACTTGCTATTTTTAAAATTGTTTAATTGAGTATTCAAATATCAAGAAGGTATCATGATTTTTTTCTAGTCTTGGAGCATGGCAGTTTCTTGCTGATATGCCATTTAACAGCGTTTCGACGGCTACATTGTGGGTATTGTTCTGGGCATTGCATAGCGACTTAAGGAAGGGAATACCATCATTAACTCTCACAGACCGCAAGAATATCACTGAAATATACTGGAAAGCAAAGCTACAAGGTAAGAAAGTTTGGCTTTTGTATATCAATTTAATATTTATTAATATYATAATTATTAATTAATTATAAATTAACATTAATAATATCTTAGAATATGTTTCTTCATGGACAGTACTTTTGGTTTCAGATATCCGTAGTGAGTTTACTGACCAGTTATCTCACATGTCGCAGTCAGAAGCTATCTTTCTACTTACGACTTTTGCTAACATGGCTACATCACGAGAGTCTCATGAGAAAGATTTTATAGAAGCAATCACTGTAGAAGTGTTTGAGGTATTGCAATTGATTTGGTGAATTGAATGTTGGAAGAAAATGAACATGAATGATGAACAAGTGAATAAATGGATGAGAGGATGAATGAATGAATTGGGAATGGTTGATTTATTATATGAAAAAAGTAACAAATGTTACTGAATTGTWTTRAGACTGGCTTCAAATKTCAAATCTTACAAATGTGTTGGCTTAGTTTTTAGAAAGGAACCAACTACATGATTGTATGGTTTCATGATCAGTGAATGAAGACTTAATTTAGCAATCGAATAATTTATTCATGAATTTGCTGTTTCGTTTATAACTTAATTTTCTTGCTTTATTCCTAAGGTGTCATTCATCTCTGACCAAACTAGAGAGTTTTGCTCAAAGACTGGTAGAGATTTATTAGGAACCATTGCTGGATATCATCCATTTATATTCACCCTTCTTCTGCAAAGAGTCTCAGAATCAATAGCAACTATAGGCAAGGTAACAGTCTGGTAGCTCTTCAATGATGTTATTTAAAAATTGTGAAGCATTTCAACAGCATTGACAACAACAACAACATCAACAACAACAACAACAATATAATTAACAATAACAACTGAAAAATCAACAACAACAATAACAATACTACCCGGGGGGGGGACTCCCTAATATCAAAGGGCGGGGATCCTCGGCGTCCCTTTTAGGGTTTGAAATCGGTATTTTGGTCCTGCTTAGGGTCATAATGACAAGAATTCCCACCAACAGAGTTTTGTGGTCCATTTTAGGGTATATGATGTCCCTAAGCTGTCATTATGAGATAAAAAACCACAGCTGCTAATTAGATGATTGATTTTATTTTAATCAATTTCACGTATTGTCACTTAACACTCCTTAATAGAAGAGATTATTGGTCCCTTTTATGGATGAAATTTCAGCACTGACACGCCCATCATCTCCAAATACAGGTCCCTCTTAGGGGTCATTTTCATAATTTCCGCCGAGGACCCCCGCCCTTTGATATTAGGGAGCACTTAAAATACTGGACAAANCCCCCCCCCCCCCCAGGCAATACTACAGCATCAGCAACAACAGCAATAACAACAACAACAATAACAACAACAACAATAGCAGCAACAATGACAACAGGAACACAATAAAGCAATATGAACTCCTAGTGCACATTAACTGATATGGAAAAGTAATTAATAGATGAACAATAGGGCGAGATGACTGTAATTCATTGCCATGCATCTCTGTTCTCTTGTCCTAACAAAGTGGGAGATTAAGAACACAAGATGGAGAAGCAAGCTTCTCTTTCTACTAAACTGCTCTCCTTCTGTCATGTTAAGTCATGTCAGTGGACAAAAAAATTAAAGTCGTGATTGTTTCTTTAATAAATGATAAAATTAAGACTCTGTGTTTGACAGGCATGCTTATACATGTTCAATGGCCTGCCTATTCACCTATGTCGTCCCAGTCACTCTGACATGGACGTTGTGAGAAGATGGCTTCTGCAGGCAGACCTGTCTTCACCTGAGCATCAACTGGCCAGACACATATTGCAAAACTTAAACTGGGGCTGTGTAGGAGAGGTAAGAAGTTCTGACATAWTAAAAAAATAATGTGAAATAAGTTAAACAATCATGGTTTWYGGTTTGAATTTGTGGCATGTTATCAYGCTWTTATGTATTGTCTGTTGCCTGTACATCATTTTTGTATATCTCATATTTTTACAGCAAGGTGAGACAGACAGATTGTTTCTGGAGAGATCTTGGCATAGAGCAGTGGCTGTGATGCTGGTAGAAGCATCAGCTCTAAGGCTGCCCAACAGGCCAGGAGGGATWTCACAYGATGCCTTCAAAGATGGAGGTGGCTTAATACAACAGGTAAGCATACCCTGTCCCTGAATATTTATTTCTTGTAACTGATAATATGTTTTTCTTTTGGAGATATTAAATATAGTTTAAATGTTTACAAAGTCTATAATGAATTATTATTAATGATAATTTATAACGATTATGGGTAATTATTATTGGCACACGCCTTCTAGTCCAGAAACTGAATACTGGTTGGGTTAGGAAATCTTTTATATTTAAGAATGCAATTCAGAATAACTTTTAAAGTTTTACACCTACATTTTTCTTAGTATTACATGAAATCTAAAATGTTATTTTGTTATTATTGCGCTTTATAGATTTTTCAATATTAACTATTTTTTATATTTTATAGTACTTCAATAAACTAATAAAATTAGTTTATTGATTATTGTAAGTTTTAACATAATTCAGCCTTTGGCTGCAATGTTTTACCTATAAACTATTTACCTATCTGACTTTTATCTATTAAATGACACAACAAATATTCCAGTTAATTAAGATTATCATAATTTCCCGCCTGGCAGAATAAAATTGTTTGGTTGCCTCAGTCAGTTTTATTAGGATCTTTCATGACTGTTATATTTCAGGTTACATTGATAGCAGCTTCATCATATAGCCGATTTATGCAACAAAACCAAGAGCAAGTTTTTTCTGATTGGTTGTGGGATGCAATGTTATTGTTGCGTCTCCATGACAACGATCTGCCAACACCTGTCATGAGCTTTAGAAATCGAAGTCACCCTGTGCAAAGAAATGAACCAGGTGATAGACATTAATAATAATTTATATTTTTAGATATTACCACACTTGTGTTCAGTTGTTCTAGAAATTGATGACAGATAGTTTCTAGTTCAGTTTGACTTTAAAGATGTTGCACTTGGCTTTTTAAAAAGGCATATTTCCTTTTATAGTATTTTATAAGATATTGATTTAAGATTAATTATAATTATAAAAAAAGTATTTTTATTATTATATATAATAGTATTGAAGTTAATGCCATAATTATTGCTATATTGTTACTTTTTTAGTTTTATTGTGTTTTTTTTTAATCTTCTCATTTGTAAAGCRCAAATGAACTTGTGGATATTATATAAATCTTTCATAATTATTTTTATTGTTCAGTGGAAGGTATAACAGGATTTGCAGCCCAAACAGCAGCTTTGTCATCAGAAGAACCTCTAGACTTGTACACAGAAAAGAGTTTAGTGAATGTTGTTAATGCAATCAAAGCAAATGGACCACTTGCTTGTTATGTGTCCATTGTTATGACGCTGACAGGGGTCAAGTAAGTCACATGTCATGTCAACCCTTGATTAGGGTTCATGCTACTCCTTGAAAACCTGGAATTGAAAACTCATTAAGGCCTGGGCGCTTGAAAAGCCCTTCAAAATGGGAAAAATTGCTAAAACTCCTGGAAAACTCCTTGAATCTGATAAAATTGATATGTTTGCTTGTTAGGTTTTGGATTGAAATGTGGCTATTTTTGACAGTCGCCACATGAAATGTCCGCAAACATAAAAAAATAACTCCAAAAATACTCCTTGAAAATCTCATTTTTGTGATTAAAAAGTACTTGAAAAGTCCTGGAATTTTGTAGTGAAAATGTAGCACAAACCCAGCTTGATATTGTTCRYTTCAATTGGATGGAATTCCCATCTCATTCACCATTGTCTTATTCTATTTTTCATCAGCCCAGACTTATTCATAACCGAAGGCCTCAATCAACTGATTACAATGATGAATGAGAAGTGTTTTGATGCTGTGCTGAGAATCATCTACAGCTGTATGTCCATGTTTCTGTCTTGTCCAGATAAACTGGTTGGCGATAGCAGGTACAATTGTATTCATACTRTTGTTTTTACTGGATTTTTGATCRTAAACCGCAATTTTTAGATTTACCAAAATCATTCACCGATTGTGTCAACTGGATGGAGAGAGTGCTTACTATGCAGAGAAACTTTTACTGTACCCTTCTGCTGGGGAATACAGTGGTCGTATTGCAGGAATCATGCAGGTAAAATCAGTCTTGATAGTATGGTTGTAAAAGTATGCTTCCTTGTTTTTGTAATCAAACCACCATTACCTATTTTTATGAGCAAGTCAAATTCGACATAATCTTTGCAGGGATACACATGTAAATGTGGCACAAATATAACAAATTGAATAATTTTTCCTTTAATTTCTGGGTAAACTATAACTGTAATATGTGTTTTGAAAATATTTAAAACAAGTTGATGTGTTTGTTGCAGAGCCACATTGAAAAGTCACACTTCCGTGGCTCTCCAGGYCCTGTCAGTGTCATTGAGTTTTGGATGAAAGTGCTTTGCTCATTGCCAAATTGGTCCAAGTGAGTTATTTGAAGTTCTTAGTTTCTTATGTCAAAACTCTTCATGGCATGATGGGCTATTTGCATTGTTTTGATTTTAAGTGCAGTGTCATCATCATTGCTCCCTGCCCAGTAGGCCCATAAGGCCTTCACCCCCTCTTTCCAGCCATATCATTCCAGCCTTCTCATTTCTCTCATAAGCACAATGTAATGTTGTATAAAATATAATGCAGCTATTTTAGAATTAAAATCCTTTCAAATTACACTATAGAGGCAATAAATTATTAATATCATAATTTATTATCGCTATGTAGGGATGGTAGTATCCAATACCTTCTTGATAATCTTATGAAGGCAGCCATTAAGATAGATGATGGTCTTGCTGCTGTCAAGACCCAGTTGATTGATGGGTACAAAACTGTACTCAAGGAGTCTGGTAACCAGGGTTTGTTGTCATCTCTATGGTCATTAGTTAGTAGTTCTACTGGACCTCCACAGCTGTGGGATATAAAGGTATGGAAATCRGTTACTTGTGGGATTATTATGCTTAATGTAACATGTATCTGAACAATATTTTATGATAAAAAACATAACAAGGTCACAGGGGTGGATTCCCTCAACCACCTTCCTCATAATCGAAAAAAAACTTGGTCAAACCAATAGAAATCACATTTTTCACACACCACTGGGAGCTTATTGTCTAGCTGACTAGGCCGCCAACAGAATATTGTAAGATCAAAATGTTTCACTGGGAGCATACCCCTAGTMTCCTTTGATTCCGTTTTGKTGAAGCCCAACATGAAAAYGGATGCGAAGGAGACTACCATGCCCCCAGACCACCTAGTTTCACCTRGTGATKGATGTAGGGCTTCACGACCCCCATTTTYATAAATTGCKTGATCTGCCYCTRAGWACCWTGACCCCCTAGTGACACCAAATGAAAATACAAGAATTACCATCATAGAATGTTTCTTTCCTGGAAAAAACCTGGTATTGCATTAATAAGATCATTATTGTATTATTAGTCATCGCCGGACTACAGTTACTATGCCTACTGCGTGTTGTCTATGGAGGAACAGATGGAAGAGAATGCTGGACTAAGGGTTCAAATGGCTAAAGTACTGATGCAAAATCCTGATATCAGTATTGACCAAGCACTCAAGGTAATATGGTCTTCCTGTGGCGAACAAACCACAGGAATCCCATTCATAGAGTTTTGGGCTCAAACTTGGGTTTCCTGCCTCTGAATTTTTTGTTCATTCTGAGGTACTAGAACACAGAATAACATRTTTTGATAGAAACAAAAGTCCAAAATACAAAATGCAATTATAGAGTCAGAGAAAGAAAGCCATAAAATAGTAGGTGATGGTAGTTTCCACCAATTTGATTTTTCAAATGTCAACTAAGATGACTCATTTGCTTTTTTTCTAGAAAGTAGCTAAGGTAATGAAGCTAACATGGTCTCCCCAGCCGGCTCATTTGTGCATCTATCGCTGGGCAAATCAAACCATGGCTACATCCATGGACCATCCAGCTTTACCACTTATTTGGCAAAAGTTCTTTAGACTTTATCTTGAACGTCCTCCTTCACAACCAGGGTAAGAAGGGTCCTGAATGGTCAGAAGGGAACTGGGATCATACTATCTTTTGGACTGGGAAGTGTATTTGCTTCAGTTGGACTAGGATTTACTGGGAGATTTATCTAAGAAAAATAATGAAAGTGGGAATGTCATTTTTGGAACTTAATGAATGGGAATTTGTCAAAGGGAAATTTCGATTGAAAAATGGGACTGAAAACCCATGGTTTTCCCCACCCCACCCCCCTTCAGTAGATCATCTGTATCTCTTTGATGCATGAATTGCTCGTTCATCCATCCATCCATTCATTTATTCATTCATTCATCTTCTCTTCATCTCATCAATTTATCCTTCCATTTCATTAATTCCATTTTTCTCTTTCATTTATTTTATTCTTCTGGTCTTTCATTTTCATCCATTCATTTATAAGTAATAATTAATATAATAATAATATTTTTTTACCCAGATCCCAGCAGCGAGCAGGCGTTGGTTATCGTTATTTTGATGGCCAGGCAGATGTCTCATTGTTAAAGAAAATGAAGCAAAGGCTCCACACGATTGCCGAACATCACCGTGGAATGGCAACACAAATGGGCGCTGATCAAGACTCAATAGGAGACGGWGAAGAACAGGATATACACAAACAGTTTGAAGAAACCAAGGCGTTACATGACAGATTATCAATGTAAGGTTACTCACATGACGTATTTCGATATGTGACCSTTGRGAATTGTGGGAACTCTCTAAGTTYGCATTGCATTATGCCCCAATGGGACTTAAGCACCGAAAACAGTTAAAGAGAAGAAGCTGTTTATCTTAAGGAAAAAGTACGCAAAATTTGTTCTTGACTTTAGGTTTTATCAAGTCCTTGCACTGTGGCTGGATGAGCCTCGTCTGCATGATCCCACATTATACTTACCCTCCCTTCCYCCACCGTATGATGCACAGAGACTGGCGTTGGTTCTAAAATCGCAACAGGTCAGTGGTTTGGTTATAGRAATTATTTTTTTCAAAATCCTCGTTTGTCATCTCTCTTCTGTTATGTTCAGCCATATTATTTYCCTTGCTATTGGTCATAACAACATTTTATTTTCAAACTTTGAAAGAGCATACATGTTACATATCATTGCAATCCCCGCAATAGCAAYGCTARTCGAGGCAGGYSGGAAGARTAAAGATTTAGWTTAGAAATCATTAAGATATTTAACTAAATGCAYTACCACTTTTGATTYKTTTTCCACTTGCAATTTTTTCAGTCCATTAATGTGSATTTCTGATTCTATTAAACAGGACCCATGGCTCGATTTAGTCCATGTTAAAAAAATTGACTGGGATTTGAGAGAAATGGTTGGGAAGTGGATGAAACATRCGTATGGGACTCAAAGGCGTAAACCTAGCAGTACAACCAGTATATCAAGTAACTGGGGATCATCTCAGCCTGACACAGGTGATTTGTCCACCCCTCCCTTGGTATCCTTCACTAGTTCTAAATGACACCCTTGAAGCCTTGGAAGTCGAATTCGATGGTGTATTATTATTCAGAATTTTATCTTTGCAGCTGCTGGACGAATAATCAAGCGAATGAGGACACATCAGCCAGCTCTTCCCCCACCCCCTGTGGTCATGATAAAATCCCCAATCCCTCCCCTGACAGAAAAAATGTTGCTTAACAAACAGAAGGTCATCAATACAGTCCACGAATATCTTCAGAAACTCACAATGCATGCTAAGTAAGTCATGTTTATCGGATATTTCTATGGTGATCAATGACGAGATGACGAGAGTGATTGGGAAGTCAGCCTGTAATAAAGTTAGCCTCCGTAGCAGACGTTCCAAGCGGTTCGATTCTCTTGGAACGTCTGCTACGGAGGCTATAATAAAGTAGGAACTTACGTTTATTTTCATAATATATTTCGCTATTTTGTAGACACTTTTGTCGTGAGACTGATCACTTGATTGCATTGGATGAGGATTACGTGGATCTTATCCCAAGAATGTCGACCAATCAGATGACGCAGGTATGTCACGTGTTAGTGTCACGCAGTGTAAACAAGAAGAACCGTCACGCGGTATTTGGTATTTAGACAACTGAAATGAACTAGGCTCTTGCTTTGTTTCATCTTTTTTGTTTTAATATATTTGATAGCAATCAATAGATTTTGATATTCGTCGTCAGTAGAATAATGATTATTGCTGRAAAATGTACAACGAAAAGTTTATAATTGCAATTTTTTAATTTTGCAGCTTGTCAAGAAGGTCCCATGTCGCAGCAAGTTTAGAACTGATCACGTGTGCACGGGACCAGCAACCATCACGTTACGGGTATGACATAATTAACTATTATCT